ATTTTATTTGACATTCTAGTTGATTTCTGGCTTTTATTTTCTATGTTTTGCAAAGAAAAGTTAAAGACTAGTTGAAGTCCTTCATTTCTTCCATCCCTATATGCATAATTTTCATTGCTTATAAGGTTTAATGGAGTCATTACATGCCAATATAAACTAGCTGAAGGTGTGTTCATGGAGTCATGCTGTGCCAATGCCAATAGGAGAAGATGAGGACGAGGTAGAGGGGAGGGGAGGCTATGGAAAATGGGCTTTTTGTATGTCAAATGTAATTATATGTCAATGAGTTAGCTGAGCTTTAGAAGGTTTCCGTTTATTTAGAGGTTTACATTTTTTGTGAAACAAATAATGATGTAATTCTAACTTGTGAACCAAAATTTGCTTTCAACTGGAGGTTGTACTGATCAACTTATGGAATACTTCATCAAACGATACACTTTTATAACATTTCTTATCTGCCTTTGTAATTAAGATATCTTCGCAGATAAGAGGCATGGAGGGGGTCATTTGTGAAGTATTTGAAAATATTATCGTGTTATACCTTGGCTTTAGCAAATGTGGATGCATTTGACTGATAAGTGCATGGGATCTAATGACCCTCAATGACTGTTTGTTTGGCAGAGCTTATTCGTCAACTTGTTTATAAGCACTTTTTTCTCTCACAAGTCTAAGGAAGTATGGGAGGGAAACTTTACTTTTTAGCATTTGAAATGCTTATAAGAAAGTATTGAAGAAAGTAAGTGAGGTGCTAATAAAAAACCCAAAACAACTCTGCAGTCTCTTGAGGTAGGGTAAAGGCACCGAATGGATTTCAGTAGAAAAAACTAAGAAAATGAATGTAGCTAGCAATCATGCAGTCTCTTGATTCTCTTCTACATTTAACTTTCTGAAATCAATGCTATTATGGGGGCATGCATTTGTTCATATAGGAATCTGCTTTTATGTGGTTCATCCTATGAGATGCTTCATTTGGTGGCTCAATTTGCTAAAAGAAACTTAGCAACTGATAATAATAATTCATATGCTTCATTCTTGTGTAACATTCAAGTTTAAAATTTTTTTTTCTGTAAAATAAATTATGCAGGTGATAACCGTATAGGCTAATAATACTAAATCTTGAGCACACAATTGAATTACTTATTAATGTGAGTGAAATGTTGTCCCTGGTGCAGATATTAGCTGCAAATGCCCGAAAGGTTAGTGCTGTTCGTTTTGAGCAGATAAACAATGGGGAAGCAATGTCAAAGATGGAACTCGATTGATTCCCAAATTCATGAAGAGGAAAGGGAACAATGACAAATTGGATAACATTACCTATGACGAGAATGCATTTCAGAAGAGATAAGAGAATTGCCTTTCTGATTGCTTTGTAGTTCTGAAGATACATAAGATAATGGCCATTAGCTACATTGCATATTTTGTTTTCTTTTTCTTTAGCTCCTCCTTTTCGTTCCCATATTCTTACTGCCCCATGAAGAACAAACGGAAGGAAACCACAGGATTACTAAGTAGACTAACATTGTAATACTTTTTCACAGATGAAGTGAAGTATCAACATCTGAAATATTATCATTGTCAGTTGTGCATATGACAGTGTCCCTGGACCATAAATTCTCCAACATTGGAGTCTGAATGACCTGAATCTGGGTATTCCTGCTTTGCAGACTAGCTTCTCTTTTGAGTGTACACTGAAGAGGCAGCTTTGACTGAAACATGAGTATAGGGTGTAAAAGCGATCTGTATGGCACATAAGGCATAGCTGCATTGATCTGCCTTGATTCAGGGAACATCCGTAAGAGCTCTTTCTCCTGCCTTATCTCCTTGGCTCTCTCCAACTATCTGAACCTTTCTTGCAGAAGAGCAATGGATGGATGAACGACTGTTGGATCAATCTGTTAATAACTCTTAAAGGATAATAAAGGAAAGGATAATAAAGAATTTTTTATATATTAAGTTTAAAAGTATTTTTTTATATTTATTGTTCCAATTAAGCAAGGTTTTGAAAATCGAATCAGACTGACCGGTTGAATCGGCACTCGGTAGAAGAAACGGGTCGAGTGAATATTTCAAACCGTTTAAGCTATTGAACTGCTTAAAACCGCTCAGATCGTCCAAACCGATGAGAACCAATAACCCATCAAATCGGCTGGGTCAACTCTTGGGACAAAATTCTCATACATTTGTATATGAAGGGTTTGCCACTTGGCCACCCTGCCTCTTGTGAGGTGAGTTGCAAAAAATATCTTTTAAAGAATATTACAAAGATTTTAAAGGGAAAATGAGTTCAATGAAGTTTGAACACTAACTCTCTTGGATGCTCAATCAAATTCGTGCCACTTGATCTGATTCGAGTTTGTTGTCAAAGTATGTGTTAAGATATATTTATGGTAGAATGACATAAATTGAACAACTTTCCCACTCGTGAGATTTGAACTGTAATTCTCCTCGATGAAATTAAAAGTTCTGATCATCAGCGCCACAAGTAATTCTTTGAGATGAGTTGCATTATATTTAATTTAATATATATTTTCAAAATTTAATCAACTCAGTTTTTTAACCGATTGAACCGTCAAATCGTGAGCCAAAAGTCAAAACGGTTTGATTTCCGATTCGGTTTTGAAAACATTGCAATTAAGTCTTAATATCCCTCTTAATAAAAGAACACGGATTAAAAAGCTTGATTTTTTGCTTTCAAACATAGCAGTTCAGTCATTGTAATAGAAAAGAAGGCAAAATAAAAAGTGAATTTAAACTACTTCAAACTATAAAAATAAAATAATAATCATTAGATAAAGAGGGCAATTAATATCATATTTAGTATTTTAAATTGCATAATATTTCTCCGTCTCCCAACATCTTGACCCTTAGGCGTGATGAGGCACATGTTGTTCCTCCCACTTGGTATTTTTTTGGTGTGTTTGAAGTTGATTGAATTAAATTCCATCATAAATTAGGCTCCTTATAGAGTGCTTGTGTGAATTATTATTATTATTTTTTATAAACCCTTGTTGAACTTGACCTATTCTTGATTGTAATCTCTAATTGTATTTTATGTTCTAGCATTTGTTCTTATAGTTTAGATAAAAAAAAATTTATGTAGATACTGTATGCCGATTATCTCAACATATGAATTTTCCTAAATTATATAATTTTTTTATGTAGATACCGTATGCAATTCATTTTTTATTTTCACTAAAAAATGAATAAAGTTAAAGTAGGTAATTTGGCAACTTTAATATCTTTTCCACTGATGCAAAAAGAGACTAATGCAGATGCTTTGGTGGGGATTATACAGATCAAGTCTTTTTTATGGTTAAAGGATTTAATTAATGATTGTGAATTTTCTTTATATGATTAAATTTGTAATTTGAAATTATATATTAAATTAATAGTTATATAATTATATCATTTTTTTTTTTGTGGAGGGGTGCTAGGGACACTCGCCTTCTGCACTCTCCGGCCAATACTTTCACTTTTATTGGGCCACGTTATTCTGGTCGGTAAAAAGTTGCACTTCAAAGTTGAAAACAAGCTTACCTGGCCCAATGAAAGGGGAAGTGTTGGCCGGAGAGTGCAAGAGGCGAGTGCCCCTAGCACTGCTCTTTTTGTATTAGTAAGACTTGCCCCTGGCACTGCTATTTTTTGTATTAGTAAAACTTGATATGAATGGATAGAAATATCTTTTATACTTTAAATTAATAAAATTTATTTAACTTGTAAAAGAAATATCTTTTCCACTGCTTCTTCTTCTTTTCTTTTCTTTTTTTATAAGAATCTAACGAATTTTCAGCGATGAAAAATTAGTAGTGCGCCTTACTGTAAAATCTAAAATTTCATATTATCATAACAAGTAACACCTTGTCACTTTCTATTAAAAAAAAAAAAAGGTACGACAATTAGGGCATTAATGCTGTGCCCTCCCTGCTATTATTAACTTGTTTAATGCAAAATTGAGTAAAAAGTTAAAGTAGCTTTTTTTTTTTTGGCTGACAAGTTTAAAGCAGCTTATTTTGGCAGTATTAACATTTTTTTCAGTGCAAAATTGAATAAAGTCGATATTAATGATTTTATCGGCCAATGTTTCACACATGGAAAAGAAAGAACATTATTTTATCTATTATTAATTAACATTTCTTATTAAATTTTATTATCATTAAAGTTTAAAAATTTTAAAAATTAAAATTTTAATAGTGTTTAATAACTATTTTGTTTATCAATTTTAATCTTTTCTTTTTTAAATTTAATTTTAAATTGTGATTTTATTTAAAAGTTTTAATATTTAAAAAAAATTAAAATAATGATTATTTATTTACCTTTTATTATTAGCTAAAAATTGAAAACTAAATGAATTCAAAATAAAATTATTACTTAATTAATAAGATAAACAAAATTCAAAAATCTTATTTAAATTTAATTTGAATCTTATAAAGTAAAAAAAACTTTTAGATTAGGTCATTTATTTAAATTTTAAAATAATAAGTAAAAAAAATCAAAAAATAAATTAAAAAATGACATCCACCATGCGTCAATATTACGGTCTATATTCATTTATTTTTATTTTGATGGAATATATTCAAGGTTAAATGCTAAATTTGGTCCCTCAACTTTAGTGAGTTGCACATTTTTGGTCCTTCAACAATTTTTTGCACTTTTTTGATTCCTTAACTATACGAAATGCACTCCGTTAGTCCTTCTATTAATTTGGGCTGTTAACTCGCTTATGTGGCATTTTTTATAATTTATTTTATGACGTGGCAAAAATAATTTTAAAAAATGTTGATCTGGAATTTTCTTTTAAGCCACGTTAATACCAACTCACTGCCTACTCATCAATTAATTTTGCTTAATAAAAAAATAAAAAATTACAAATTTACCCCTCTCCCTTTTTTGAGCCATCTTCTTCCTTTCTTCTTTTTCTTTTTCTTTCTTCCTCTTCTTTCTTCCTCTTCTTCCTCTATGTCTGTTGGGTTCGGTGGAACCCAGTTGGCTGGGTTCGGTGAACCCTGCTCCACTTTTTTGTTTTTTTTGTTTTTTGTTATATGTTGATTTGCGAAGAGATTATCCAAGACATTATATATTTGTTATATGTTCAAAATGGAAATGGAAAGAACAGAAACAGTTGGGCAAAGAAGCAATTCTTAGTGGGTTTTCATTTGTTTGGCTGGAAAATGATATAGTTTGAGTGTTTGGATGCTGAGAAAATGCTTTGAATTTGGGTGTTTGGATGCTGAGAAAATGCTTTGAATTTGTTTGGTTGGCGAGATTGGTTACTGAGAAACTATCATGTTCGTCAAAGAAAGAAAATTTGATGAGAAAATGGTGATTTAATTATAAATTAATTTAAAATTTTAATTTTGATTAATATAAATAATTATAGTTTAATTATGATTAATTAATAAAATTGATTTGATATTATTTTTTATTCGGATAAATATTTAATTTAATTTGTTATATTATTAAAAAAATTAAAAAAATATCACTTAATTTGTCATGTCATTAAAAGATATCTTTTTTTATTAGTGAGGTGGGACCCATTTGAATGAATTTGACACACGGTAATATGATTTGGCACACGTAATATGAAATGTCAAAATGTTTGTCCATATCATCACTTTGCTCTCCACATCATCAAAAAAAATATAAAAAATGCCACATAAGCGGAATTAACGGCTCAAATTAACAGAAGGACTAACGGAGTGCATTTCTTGTAGTTGAGGGATCAAAAAAGTGCAAAAAATTGTTAAGGGATCAAAAATGTTCATTTCTTAAAGTTGAGGGACCAAATTTCGCATTTAACCTATTTTCAAATTATCAGCATCCCTCAATTTTAAATACTCTATATATACTCTTCTTGAGTACTCTACTGCGCCAAACAAAGATATGAGGATCTTCACAAAACCGTCTGCACCACTCTGCCTCCTTTTTGTCTTCCTCTGTCTTAAAACTGCCTTCCCATCCTCTATACATGCTTCTTCCTTCTCAACAACGCATCTCTGCTCTCATGAGGAGGCTCTTGCTTTGCTGCAATTCAAGACTTCCTTTTCCATCAATTTCACTGTTTCGAATCCTGATTACTGTGCGAATCTTTTTTATACCAAACCTAATTATTCTAAGATTGAGTCATGGAAGGAAGGTATAGATTGTTGTTCTTGGGATGGGGTTAGCTGTGATAATGTCACAGGCCATGTAATTGCCCTTAATCTCATCTGCAGTCACCTTTCTGGCACCTTTCCTTCCAACAGCACTCTTTTTCTCCTCAAAAACCTGCAGAGCCTCAATCTTGCTTTCAATGATTTTAGGCTTTCCAAGATTCCACCAGAAATCAGTACAGTCAGTTTACTAGACTAAAGCATCTTGATATCTCCGATTCTCGATTTTCGAGCCATGTTCCGGGCGAAATTGCTCACCTCCCCAAGTTAGTTTCTCTCAATCTGTCTAATTATTACATTTCTTCTGACTTGATCCTTGAAACAACTACCTTCAAAAATCTTGTTCATAACTTGAGTGAGGTGAGAGAACTTGTGCTTAATGGAGTGAACATGACTTCTGTTAATCCTCGTTTCTTCATGAATCTCTCTTCTTCTTTGACTACTCTTCGTCTTTTTAATTGTCAGTTAAGAGGAAACTTTCCAAACAATACTTTCCGCTTTCCAAATCTCAAGAGATTTAGTTTAGGTGGAAAGGGAAACCTCACTATTGATCTTCCAAGTTCCAATTGGAGCAGTCCTCTCCAACGGTTGTACTTAGGTGATATGGATTGCGGAAGGCGATTGCTAGAGTCTATAGGAGATCTAAAGTCATTACAGTCTCTGACTCTTTTCTGCAACTTGGAAGGTTCCATTCCAGCTTCCATAGGGAACTTATCTGAACTAACTGTCCTAAGCCTCTTTTCTAACAATTTTAACAGACAAATCCCAACATCACTTGCAAACCTCACACAACTTACCTCTCTTTACCTTTCCAATAATCAGTTTTCTGGTCCTATTCCAACATCACTTGCAAACCTCACACAACTTACCTCTCTTGACCTTTCCAATAATCAGTTTTCTGGTCCCATTCCAGCTTTCATAGGTAACTTAAGGCAACTTACTAGCTTAAACCTCTATTCTAACAATCTTGGCAGACAAATCCCATCATCACTTGCAAACCTCACCCAACTTACCTCTCTTGACCTTTTCAATAATCAGTTTTCTGGTCCCATTCCAGCTTCCATAAGTAACTTAAGGCAACTTACTGGCCTACACCTCGATGCTAACAATCTTAGTGGACAAATCCCATCATCACTTGCAAACCTCACACAACTTAGTTATCTCTCCCTTTCTTATAACTTACTTAATACGTTGCCACCTTGGCTTTTCACCCTACCTTTCTTAGAGTCCTTGTATCTCAATCATAACCAACTTCAAGGTCAAATAAATCAATTGCAGAAAAACTCACTCACATACCTAGATTTGTCAAACAATAAACTCCAGGGCTCAATTCCTAACTCAATTGCTAATTTAGTAAATCTTAGTTATCTCAATTTATCATCAAATCTTTTTAATGATTTAGTAGTACCTAATATGTTCTCGGCACTTCAAAATCTCGAAATTCTTGACCTTTCTCATAACAACTTAATTGGGAAGATTCCAAATTGTCTTCCTAAGTCTCTCTCAGCGTTGAATTTGCAAGCCAATTACTTTGATGGATATATAGCATTTGGGTTTCTAGAGAGCTGTGGATTACGAAATCTCAACTTACATGGAAATCAAATGGACGGCTTATTACCAAGGTCTTTGGTGAATTGTCGCATGTTAGAGGTTCTAGACGTTGGCAACAACAACATAAGTGATACATTCCCTCATTGGTTGGAATCCCTACCAGACCTTCAAGTGCTTGTCTTAAGGTCCAACAAGTTCCACGGTTCTGTGCAGAGCACCAAAGAAAGTCCATCTTTTCCCAAGTTGCGAGTTTTGGACCTCTCCAGCAATTATTTTGTTGGTGCTTTGCCTGTTCAGTACATTGAAAATTTTGATGCGATGATGGACCCTCATAAAGATGGTGGTTCCCCTGAATACATGATGGTGTTGACGGTAGCCAATTCTTATCAATATTCACTGGTTGTGACATGGAAGGGATTCGACTATGAGCTACAGAAAATCTTGACCGTATTCAGTAGTATTCATCTCTCAAATAACATGTTTGAGGGAGAAATTCCAGATGTTATTGGAAAGCTTAGTTCTCTCAAAGGGCTTAATCTTTCTCATAACAACCTTACTGGTCATATCCCACCGTCGCTAGGGAATTTGACGAATCTGGAATGGTTGGATCTCTCTTCCAACAAGCTGGCGGGGAAAATTCCCGATGAATTGGTATCTTTGACACAACTCTCAGTATTGAATCTTTCAAATAATCATCTTATCGGACGCATACCACAAGGCAACCAGTTCAACACCTTTGGAAATGGTTCTTATGAAGGAAACCTTGGACTGTGTGGAATCCCATTGTCAAAATCTTGTGATGGAATTGGGACACCACCGAGCTCCTTCCAAGAAAAAGATGAGTTGTGGAGATTTGGCTGGAGAG